CTCTGAAGACCCATCCTCCACATGCTCAGATTCCACCACTAGGGCTTTATCGACAGGATAAAACTTTCACCCTGTTAAAATATAGTTACCTAACTGTAAATTGTTTTTGGGTATTTGCACTGTGACATGAGACATACATAGGATATCAGGTTGTAAAAGATCAAAAAGGCCTTTGGGGCTGGGCGTGGTGGCTCACACCTGTAATCCTAGTACTCTGGGAGGCCGAGGCGGGCGGATTGTTTGAGCTCAGGAGTTCGAGACCAGCCTGAGCAAGAGCGAGACCCCTGTCTCTACTACAAATAGAAAGAAATTAATCGGACAACTAAAAATACATAGACAAAATTAGCTGGGCATGGTGGCGCATGCCTGTAGTCCCAGCTACTCGGGAGGCTGAGGCAGAAGGATCGCTTGAGCCCAGGAGTTTGAGGTTGCTGTGAGCTAGGCTGATGCCACGGCACTCTAGCCAGGGCAACACAGCGAGACTCTGTCTCAAAACAAAACAAAACAAAACAAAACAAAAAAAAGGCCTTTGGTTATAAAGACTCAAAGTCGTGGACACTTGTTTTGGGCATGTTGAGAAGGGAGGAGTGAGCCCGCAGCTGAGAAAGAGCAAATGGCCAAGAAAGGAGTAGGCTGGGAGCACAAAGAAAATTTACATTTTCGGGAAGTTTGGCCTACCCTAGGACCTCCCTCTTATGTGATTGTTTTCCCATTATGAAATATTCCAATAAGAAAGTGATTGAATCTCCTATTAGACATGGGTATATTTATGGGTATATTCTTTAGATTGATGACTTGATCTACATGGTCAGAGTTATAGCCCTGGATACCAAGTGGTATTACTGGGTTACAGTGGCCAGAGTTAGTTGGCAGAAGCCAGTGTCACAGTAGGGACTATCCAGTGGGAGCTGGAACCACAGAGGAGGCTCAGCCACACTGAAGTTACCAAAGGAAGCAGGGAGAGGAGAAGTAATACCTTGTTTCTCACCAAGTGCTGCTTTCAAATCTTCCACCAGTGCCTCCCATTGGCCAATCCTAACAGGAAGCCAGAAGACAAGAGAGCTTCTACTTCAGCTAGGAAGAAAATACCCTTTAGACTTCAGCAGAAAGGATATCCCCACCATGTAAAGAGAAGGGTAGGAATAGAGAACAGTGAGGACATTGGGGGGTGGTTGGAGGTGAGAGCTTCTTGGGGGCCTGGCTAGATAACTAACCCCCTCAATGGGAGAGTTCAGGTGCCCAGATGCCAAATGGCAGAAAGAGCCTTCAGGAGGATTATAGGAAGAATAAGTATGAACTTCTAGAACAAAATGTCTAGAACTGTGTAGAAAGGACATAATACTGAATTGGGGAGGAAAGGGTGGAGACAACATGCTGGTGTTTAATCTAGTCGATGGGAGGATTTCCTCTCCGACTCAAATCTGCCTGCAATATCAATACTTATTACTTCATAAAATCATTATTCCCAAATTTTCTGAGGCAGGTCTGATTGCAGACTTTGGTCCCATTTTTGAACACTACACTGTTTGGGATTAGGAAAACACAATTTCTGTGTCCATAAAAGTGTCCTGTGCTGTGTGATATGTATAGCCCTTTATGAACAAATGAAACAGGTGGGTACCCTCTTCCTATCTCCCTGTCCCTTCCTGAGCTTCCTTTCTGGTTTAATAGCTTTACCATCCATCTTTGTTACATGAGCCAGAAACCTCAGAAAATTCTGTGTTAGTTATCTGTGACTGCATAACAAATTATCCCCAAATTTAGCAGCTTAAAAGAATAAACATTTAATATCTTACACAGTTTCTGAGGATCAGGTATCCTGGAGCAGCTTAGATGGGCAGTCCTGGCTCAGGATGTCTCATGAGGTTGCTGTCAAGCAGTGGTTGGGGTTGTAGGCATCTCAAGTCTTGACTAGAGCTGGAAAATCTTCTTCCAAACTCACATGGTGGTTGGAGCCCTTAGTTCCTCACTGACTATTGGCCAGAGGTCTCTGTTCCTTACCATGTGGGCCCCTCCCTCGGCTGCCTGAGTGTCTTCATGACAGGGCAGCTGGAATCCCCCAGAACAAATGATGGGAGGGAAAGAAGGAAAAGAACTTCTGAGGTGAAAACCACAGATTTTTAAACAGTCTAATCTCAGAAGTGACATGCCATTACTGCCATATCCTATTGGTCGCACAGACCAACCCTAGTACAGTGTGGGAGGAGACTCCGCAAGGGTACAAATACCAAGAGGCAGGGTTATTGGGGGCCAACTTGGAAGCTGGCTACCTCAAAGAGGTCTTCCTTTCCTTCTCCCTCTTCTTCAGCAAACCACTAACTGAGTCCTTCTGAGTCTTCCTCTACAGTGTTTCTTAGACATGACCTCATCTCAAATCCAATTGTTTCTTCAGGGAACAGGTGTGGAGGCTGATGGAGGAAGCCTTGGGGACAACACACATAAGGGTGCAGGTAGAATGCATAATAATATGCTAGTGTGGCTTCCAACCCAACCTTACAAGGAGGGGAGCAACATCTTGGCAAGCCAGATTTTTGGGGAGGATTTGTTCCCTGTGCAGGCAAGGGAAGACTTGTAATGCCAGAGTCTTCCTAGGCAAGTGAAGTGCTGAGAGCACAGATACTTTCAGACTAGGCCTAAGCACCTTAATACTTCACAATATGAGGTCAGCCCCCCTGTGCATGAGGCACAGAAAGTCTTAGGAGCTCTGTAGGCAAGGGCCTGTCTCTTTCTTGTAAGCATCGCAAGTAGGTTTACCTGCACAAGTCTACGTAGATTGGAAGTGGCTTCTTGGAGCTCTTGAACTAAGAAAAATTGTGTGGTCCATTCTGATTCAGTGGAAAAGGAAACCTTGATTTTCAACGTCTGCCATCTGGCCAGTGGAAATACACCTCCTTTCCACTAAAGATACCTTTCCTTCTTGGGTCCCTTCTCTAAGATGGGCTTTTTGGGGAAAAACAAAACACTTAATAGGTAGAATTTTCAGAGCTAGGTGTGCCTTGACCCCACCTACCTGAGCTATTTGAACTGCTGCAGGATCTCTCCCACCATCACTGCACCTGGGAGGAGGTGAGCTCTAGCAGTCTCCCTCCTCAGGTTCTTAAACAGCCTGAGGCTGGACAGTTAACTAAAGTTAAGTCAATTAACTGAGGACCCAAGGGGACCAGGGTGGGAACTCAGAATTTATTGAAATTGATGAAAGATTCTAGTCCTTCTATGAAAATTTGTTCTTTGTTCTTGGATCTATAAACTTGGGATATAGAATCATAGACTTATTGACCAGAACAGACAGCAGAGGTCGCCTACTGCCTTATCCCTTACCCCATACTCATTTTACCTGTGACTCAGAGAGGTCAAGGGACTTTCCCACAGTCATTTAGTAAGTTGGCCACCCAGCTGGGACCAAAGTCTTCTGACTTTCTGATCTTTCCCGGTCTCATGTGAAACCTGTGAGTTATCATGCCATGTATACTAGTAGAATAAGTGTACTGCAGCTGCCTGTTTGCTTTAAGATCCATTTTCTGCTCTCATTGTGATCTCTAAATGACAAGGAACTTCATTTCCCAGGCTCTCTTGTCTTCTAGCCTCCTGTTAGGATTGGCCAATGGGGGGCACTGGTGGAAGATTTGAAAGCAGCACTTGGCAAGAAACAAGGTTATTACTTCTCCTCTCCCTGCTTCCTTTGGTAGCTTCAGTGTGGCTGAGTCTCCTTTGTGGTCCCATCTCCCACTGGACAGTCCCTCCTGTGACTCTGGCTTCTGCCAGCTGACTCCTGCCAGTGTGACCCAGTAACACCAGCTTCTCCAGTCCGAGGGGTCATAGCCGCTTACTGCTGTGGCTGATCTCTGGCTTGCCTGCCTGACCTCTGATTGGTTTCTCAGCTCTTCTATCATTTTGATAACCCATTCCCTATATTAAATTACCTCTGCTTGTTGAGATCTCAACCGGTTTCTCTTTTCCTTATTGGACCCTGAGCAGTAGAGTAGGACCATCATTCTGTGTGTTCTTGCACACTGTGGGAATACAGTAAATATTCAATTATAATGATGTTAATGAGAAAGGAAAACCAGTTTATCCAAAACCAGTAGTGCTTAGTTGTATTCATCTACTTTATAAGTCGAGCTGATTAAAGCTACATATTTGTCATGGCTCATGAAAAACAGAAAGTGGAAACATCTTGCTAAGATATTTTCCAGAGGAGTCAGTCTTGTGCCTTCTACTCTGTGGTGTCAAAAGAATGGATTCCTTTGATCTCGTAGATCTTTTCCATCTCTGTCAACCATGACTTGATCGTGGAAGGGATCTTTTTTGGTTGGGTAGGTTTATATTTTTTAACTGTAGCAGAACGAGTCAGTGGTTTTTTACACTTGCTTTGGTAACAACTCTCTGCAGTTGGCTTTGCCATCACAAGCCTGGTTGTTGTGACCTACAGTCCTGTTTATATGCCAACCACTGTTCTTGGCCTCCACATGAGGATTTCCACAAGGGCTCCATTTGAGATGGTAGTTTCCAAGATTGGGGGGGATCTGCCCGCCAGCACTGGATTTGAGACCACCAGCTTGTTTTTCCAAGCATTAATATCTCACTGATCTCCAAACATATTTTCTTTTCCAGAACACTTTCCAAAAGGTTTGTAAGAATGTCTCTAAAACTTTTTTCTTTTGAAGGCATACAGGCCTAAGGGGAAGGGGGCAAGGATAATATAAATTATAACTTGGCAGACTCGTATTTAAAGCTTTATCCAAAAAATATTTTTCTCCTTACAAAAAAAAAAAGCCCCTCTTTACATATTTAAGTAATTCATTTGGGAGAAATAACCACTCAGCTATTCACATAGCCAGTCCTTGGCAGTTTCAGTTCAAAATGCTTTGAAACGAGTCAACTACAGCCTCAAATATTTTCTCTTTGAAAGCTTAACTTAACCATCACTACGATGGTGGTGAGAAAAGTGACAACTCATTTTAAAGATTCTGCCCCTTTGTTTCTTTGTCTCTCTTCTGCAGGCCATGTGTTTATACTATGGGATCTCCCATAAACAACAGGGCCCTTTTTCCATGCCAGGAGCCACCCGTTGCCATGTCAACATGGCAGGCTACAGTTCGAGCAGCTGCATCTTTTGTTGTTTTAATGAGTGGGGAAAATTCTGCCAAGCCAACACAGCTTCAGGAAGGTACTGTACATGTGTTCTTTGCTTATTTATGTATTGCACACATGTTGGACCCAGGAACTCAATAAGCAGTGTTTTTCTAAACTTTAAAGAGCTCCTTTATTAGTTGGGTTGGAAATGAACATACTGTAAAACATCCTGCCAGAGAAAACAAGCAAGGGATGGGGAGGGGCACTTAGGAGCATGGGCATGGGATTTGGGGCTCTTCGCGCTAGAGTTATCAATTCATAGATTATTTCAGTAGTTGCTTTCACCTGGTGGTTTGTGGGCCATAAGTAGGTGGTCTTGATTGAAGACTTTCTGGGCTGGTGGATGTGTCCTGGAAACACCATTATAGTTGAGTTATCTGTGGTTTGGTTATGGTGTCTGTACATGGTCATTGGTTATGTTGAAAGATAATGCTCCTGTTGGCCAGCCCACTGGCATTGTCCTGGTAAAGGATCTGTTCTACACACTATTTGCCTATATGAGGTTCTGAACCAAAGGTGTATAAGAAAGTTAGAAGGCAAGTGGTATTGCACGGTCAAAGTTTTATCTGTGAATTACTTGCTTATTGCAATAATTAACCCTTTCTGTTGAGATCCTAAGCGTGTTGATGCTAGGTAAAATTTTTGTAGTTGTAATATTTCTTATTTAAACTGTAGTGTTTCCTCTCACATACTTATTGCAGAAACTTTAAAATATGCAGAAAAGTAAAAATAATAAAGTTAAATAATTTTAGAGGAAATCATTGTTAACATTTTTCTTCATTTCCTTTCAGTATTTAAAATCTAGTCCAGGCACAGTGGCTCACGCCTGCAATCCCAGCATGTTGGGAGGCTGAGGCAGGAGGATCGCTTGAGCCCAGGAGTTTGAGACCAGCCTGGGCAAATTAGCAACACCCTGTCTCTACAAAAAAAAATTTTTAAATGAATTAGCCAGCCATGGTGGCATGCGTCTATAGTTTTAGCTAGGAGGCTGAGGCAGGAGGATTGCTTGAGCTTATGAGTTGGAGGTTGTAGTGAGCCATGATCTGGCCACTGCACTCCAGCCTGAGCAACAAAGCAAGACCCTGTCTCTTAAAAAAAAAACAAGCAACTTTATGTATTGTATGTATTATCATCCAAAAGTATTGTCATAGCATACAACAGTGTTTATTCTGCTTTTCTCATTCATAGCGTATCTGGAATATTTTTCAGGTCATTTAAGTATTTTTTAAAATTATGATTTTAATGTTGGCACAATATTTTGTTATATGAATATATCAGAATTTAATACTTCCATATTATTAAACATTTTGATTATTTCCAGGGCTTTTTTTCTATTATAAATAAAGTTGCATTAAATTCCTGAGGAGATGTTTTATATAAAATTAGAATTACTGAGTCAAAAGTTGGAACATGTTTTAGGCTATTGGTACATATTGTTTTCCAAAAAGGTTGTGCCACTTTACACATTCATCTTAGTTATCAGAGTCTCTGTTTCCTGGAACTTTGCTCATCTGATAGGCAAGAGAAGGTCTCTTTTTAATTTGGATTACTTTGGTTATCAGTGAGTTTCACATGTCCTTATGTGTTTTTTTTTTAATTTTTTTTTTATTTCAGCATATTACAGGGGTACAAATGTTTAGGTTACATATATTGCCTTTGCCCTGCCCGAATCAGAGCTTCAAACGTGTCTATTCCTCAGACAGTGCACACCGCACCCATTAGGTGTGAATATACCCATCCCTCCTCCTCACTCCCACCTGCAAGACACCAGTGAATGTTACTACTATATGTGCACTTAAGTGTTGGTCATTTAAGTCAATTAATACCAATTTGATGGTGAGTACATGTGGTGCTTGTTTCTCCATTCCTGTGGTACTTCACTTGGTAGAATGGGCTCCAGCTCTATCCAGGATAATACAAGAGGTGCTAGATCACCATTGTTTTCTGTGGCTGAGTAGATCCTATATGTTTCTTAAACACTTTCATTTTCTATCTCCTTGTTTCCTTTGCCCATTTTTATACTGAGGACTTAGTGAGGGTTTTCAGAAAGTTTGTCTTGTTTTTTTAATTTGATCAGCTCCTTAAAATGTAGATATTAACTTCATTATATTTGTGAAAAGTACTTTTCTCAGTTTTTAGTATATCTTTTAATTTTATATGATGTTTCTGATCTGTAGGAGATTTAAATTTTTATGAAGTCAAATTTATCAGCTTTTTCTTGGAAAGTCTTTCTTTGATCTAAGATTCACCTATTTTGTTGTAATATTTTTATAGTTTAATTTTTGTAATTTAACTCTTTAATCTGTCTGTAGTTCAGTCTCACCAGGGTTGTAAAATGAGGACTAAATATTATCTTTTTTTCAAATAGAAAACCAATTGCTTCAAGATCATTTATGGAATCTTCTAATTTGTGATATCTTCTTTATCATAAGCTAGATTTACATATGTACTAAAGTCTTCAATGAGTTTTTGCTTGATTCTTATGGTAAAAACAAAACAAAACAAATAATAGATTTAAAAATTTTCTTTCTAAAAACAGGTAACATTTACGTGGTTCATTTACAAATGAACAAAGGACAAAACATTTGCAATAAAGTCTCCTTCTTATCTCAATTTCCCAGCTACCCAGTAACCCTCCCCCAAGGCAACCCAGGTTACCAATTTCCTTTGAATAATTTTTTTTCTCTGTTGTTGCACAAATTGTAGCATGCTATACACATTTTTGTATTGTGCTTCCCCTTTTAGAATAAATTTATTTATAGATATCTATATAGATATAGATACATCAGAACATAAAGAGCCTCCTCATTATTTTTATAACTATGGAGTATTCCTTAAATCGATATTTTATAATTTAGTTAACCAATAGCTGTATACTACACTGCCTATCAATTAAGGAATTTAATAAGTATTTACTTCCATTATCCTTCCTCACCCACATTCTCTGGTTTTAGTAATAAAACTTGGGATCTGGGACTCATACTATCTCTTTACTTTGCTTTTGTATTGTACCTTTTAGGAATTATTATTATTGTTTTCTATTTTCATTCAGTTTCAAGTCATATTTATAATAAGTATTTAGACTTTCTTCATTCTTGAGCTCAAGTTTGAATCATCTTTCAGTTGGCTGGGAAATTATTTTAATTTTTTTTCTAAAAGGGTGGATGCATGGTGTATTTTCTGAGTCCTTCCATATTTACATTGGCTTTTTTTTGTATTCACTTGTGACTATGGAGTATTCCATAAATGGATGTTTCACAATTTAGTTTACCAGTAGCTCTGGACTTCACTTAAATTCTTTAGTTATTTCTTTTCCCTCTTTAGCAACTATAAATGCTTTCATTATCATCCCTTATTTAGTATTTCTGAGGAGAAATCTGATACCAGATTTTTCTGTTCTTTGAAAGTATGATTTTTCTGCTTGCACATTCATAGAATTTTTTAAATTTATGTAATTCAAAACTTTCTAGAATTAATCTAGATGTGGGTGTGTTTTTATCTACTTTATTAAAGTATAATTTACTTATTGTATTAGGGTTCTCCAGAGAGATAGAACCAATAGGATATATATGTATAGGTAGATAGATAGGAGGAGATTTATTAGGGCAATTGGCTCATGTGATTATGGAACCTGAAAAGTCCCACCCCAGGCTGCCTGCAAGCTGGACACCCTAGGATGCCTGCAGTGAGGCTCAGTCCAAGTTCAAAAGCTTCAGAACCAGGGAAACTGATAGTGTAATTCTCAGTCCAAGGCTGAAGGCCTGAGAACCGGGCCAGGACTAGTTCTGATGTCAAAGAGCAGGAGGAGGAGAGTGTCCCAGCTCCAGGAGAGAAAGAGAAGAAGAAGTCACTTTACTCCCTTTTTTGTTCTATGTGGGTACCCATATGCCAGTCTCCTCTGGAAACACCCTCACAGACACACTCAGAAATAATGCTTTACCAGTTCTCTAGGTATCTTTAATCCAGTCAAGCTGACCTAACTATCACACATGTAATACATGCATACAATGAGATTTGACAAATATATACACCTGTCAATTAATCACCACCTATGGTGACATAGAACATTTTCATTACCTTAGAAATTCCCCTGTGCCCTCGCTCTCATTCCTCCCTAACCCCTCTCCAATTAGCCATCGGTCTGATTTCCATCACTATGGATTGGTTAGACCTCTTCTTAAAATTCATATAAATGGAGTCATTTAGCGTGTACTCATGTCTGGCTTCTTTTACTCAGTATAATGGTTGTGAGACTCATCCATGTTGTTGTGGATGTCAGTAGCTTATTCTTTTTTTTTTTTTAATTGATGAGTAGTAGTCCATTGTATGAATAAATCAGTTTGTTTATCCACCCACCTGTTGGTGGACATTTGGATTGTTTTTGGCTATTACAGAAAATATGCTGTGAACATTCATATATAAATAGGGACGTAGGTTTTCATTTCTCTGGGGTAGACACCTAAGAACGAAATGGATCATATGATTAAGTGTGTGTTTAAGTTTGCGAGTATCTGCCAAATGATTTGCAAGGTAGTTGTATCATTTAATATTCCCACCAGCAATGTATGAGAGTTCTAATTGCTGCTCATCCTTGGAAACACTTGGTATTGTCAGTCCTTTTAATTTTAGCCTTCCAACAGAATGTAAAATACCATCTCATTGTGGTTTTAATTTGCATTTTCCTGATGGCTAATGATGTTGAGCATCTTTTCATATACTTACTGCACATTCTTATATCTTCTTTTGAAAAGCATCTCTTCAAGTCATTTGCCCATTTTTTAATGTGATTTTTTTGGTTGTTTTATTACTAGATTGTAAGGCTGGGCGCAGTGGCTCACGCTGTAATCCTAGCACTCTGGGAGGCTGAGGTGGGTGGATTGCTCAAGGTCAGGAGTTCGAGACCAGCCTGAGCAAGAGCGAGACCCCGTCTCTACTAAAAACAGAAAGAAATTATCTGGACAACTAAAAATATATATATATATAAAAAATTAGCTGGGCATGGTGGCGCATGCCTGTAGTCCCAGCTACTCAGGA